GGTGTACGTTGTCCGCTCCGCATTTTCCCGATCATCCATTTATCGCATGGTATCAGCCAATTCCCTCATGAGGCAAGGATTACGACAGAAATTGTTTGGGATCAGATTGGTTAGGTCACCTCTCCCATTCAGGTCAGCCCATCCGCTAATGCACTGCTCCTTAGAGTTGAGGGTGCGAGACCTTCTACTCTCATGCAGTCGTTCAGACATGTCTCTGGTTTGTTTAGGTGTCTTCCTCATTGTTGTAGTAAGAAGTTGTTGGTGCGTGAAGCGTTGCTTAGCGTTAGAGCTTGCTTGGAAATTTTAGTTCAAGTTTCCCACATATGACGCCAATGTTGAGGTTTATTATCAGGATCCAAAGGTCCAATACAATCCTTTGGGCTTCATAGGACTGTCTTAGTTAAATGAGTATTCAGATGAGTGTTTAAGGCCACAATGATGCAAGAATAGCAAGCAAATGAGTGCAAGTGGATCCAATTCTATTCGAGCCAATAGAACGATTACAATACTATTGTCGGACGACAATTCCAACTCTCTAGGCAGAGCTAGAATCTATTGGGAAGACTAAAAGGAATATAATTATAATGTTAGAGTGCAAAGTTGTTAACCATTTTACAATGAAATGAATGCTGATATATATAGTACAAGTCAGTAGGTTAATGGATGATGTGAGCTGCCTTGAGAGGATGAGCCTCAACAATAAAATCTTTCACATCCAATGCATTAAACGCACTTCCTGCCAATTATGGTGTTTCCCGCCAACTGCCTTGGGTCGTTCTGCCATGGGCAGCCTGCTGAAGTGAGGAGAGAAAACCAAGTTAAGATAACAGGTTGCATGACACTGTCCGTGTGTCGGACTCCGTGCGGTTATCCCGAGCAGAAGATATTTGCTGACAGTCCATGCGGGATCGGGTTTCTTAGCGATATTTGGGCCTGCATTGTGCCGAGACCTAATATCCTAACAAACTTCAAATGGATCTTTATTTGATTTTCCACCATATTCTCTTTATATTATATATTATATATATAAATAAGTATAAGTATTGCATACTAGTAGTACTTTTGTCTACTTTTTAGAGTAAAATGCGTAAATGGCCCTTGAACTGTCGCCATAATATCATTTTGGTCTTGGAACTATTAATGATATCATTTTAGTCCTTAATCTATTTAATCTATATTAATCAAGTCTTTTCGTTTTAAAATTTTCCGTTTACATTGATGGTAGGTAATTTATTAACATCCCATAGTTTTAAATATTTTAGAACAACACAATTATTCATAAAAATTTAGTAGCTAATCTAGTTTTTTTTTTAAATATACATACATACACATACACAAATAAACATTATAAATAAATAATTAAATAAATAATATAAAACCAAAAGTATGGATTAAATAACATATTCGGAGTATAACATATAAGAGAGAATCAAATAACCAATTATATACATATGAGCAAATAAAATTAAATAAGAAAACGATAATGGTCACCTCCATTTTTTGTTAGATTTTCTTTCTCTTTCTCCCATTTTCTGCCTTCACAGTTCTTTGTCTATCATAGTGTAGTCTTCTAATATTAGAGTCTCTCTTTTATATGTAGTACTATGTACGTAGTATTATTTAAGCCATACATATGGTTATATATTATTTATTTGATTATTTATTTATAATTTTTGTATGTGTGTGTATATATTTAAATATGTATCTTTATATATATTGTAAGGAATAATTGTATTTAGATTTTGATGATGATAGGATAAATTAGAATTTTAAAGTACCCCTTATAGAAATTTTGTATTAGAATTTCTTCTTGTAAGTATTAGCATAGTCGACGGGCCAGAGATCCTCTTGGTACTTCTGATCTGAGCTGCTATGAGAACTGCTCCATGAGAGTTGCTCTTCAGAGAAGCATCAGAACTGCTATGAAAATTGCCTCATGAGAATTACCTTCAGAGTTGCTCGTGGCTAGCTATGAGAAATGCTAGCAAAACTACAAGTCTGATAAACCATGAGAGCTGCTCATCAGAGAAACATCAGACTTCGACGTCAAGCTTCATCAGAACTCAACTTCAGAGAAGCATTAGAGTTCCGTATCTAAGTTCATCAGAATCCAAGGTCAGAATGCCATCAGAGAATCTCATCAGACCTGGATGGACACTTAAAAGATTTTGAAGCTGCTTTCAACTGCCGTATAACTAACGGGAAATTCCCTAACGGCTAGAAGATATTTCATCAAAGGAAAGCATTTAATGCTCATTTAATGAGTCTGATACGCTGTGGAGTAATTGTAGATGATTGACCGAGATTCCTGGAGAATATTATACAAAAATAAAAACCTGCCAAATATGCGGGTCCAACCGGTCAACTCCACAGTACGTGCATTCAATGCAGTTGTCTCCTCCTCCAACGGGTAGACAACCCCAGTATAAAAGATACTCGATGAAGAACATTGGGATAACTTTTGCTCTCAAAATATTAAAACAAGCTCTCTTGAGATTCAAACTCCATATTCATCCTACAAGACAAAGCTTACGTTGGGAAGATTAAACTACTCAAAAATCCTTCAACCCCAACAAAGAGCAAAGTTCCTTCAGTTCTTCAACACTTCAAGAACTTCATCAACAAATCTTTTGTGACGAAGCTAGTTGGAGAAAAACTCTGTTTTTCGAAACATCTTCTGCAAAGAAGGGCGTCCAATTAACTGAAGTAGTGAAGTTGTGATACTTCCGGGAAGCTCAGTGAAAGGACCAGCCATCAGGAAGCAGGATTGCATCCCGGGTGGCAACTAGACTTGAAGAAGACGTGGAGTGCTTCTTAAGTGCTAGGGACTAAGGCATTGTAACTGTCGCTTTACAAGCTTAGTGGAACAGTGGACTAGAGGAACGCGTTGTTCCTTGAACCACTATAAAAATTCCCGGTGTCATTTACTTTACTGCATTTAATTTCTGCACTTAGGATTCTAAATGTATAACTCTTAAAAGCTTGGAATCTGTGTTCAACAGATCTTGTGCTAAGAGTTATCAGAAAGGCATTTGCCTTAGTATTTTTCTTGAGGCTATCCTGACAAAACCTTAATCCGCTGCCTGGTTCAGTTCTGCCATCAGAACTCGACCATCTCTGTCATCAGATTTGGACCACTTCTCATAAGTCAAGTTTTGACTTAAAGAAAAATCTGAAAAATCAGAACAGTCTATTCACCCCCCCTCTAGACTGTTCCCCACTCAATCGGGACCAACATATATAAAGAGAACATGGTGGAGATCCAAATATAAATCTATTTGAAGCCAAAAGAAGTGAAAAATTGTGGTCACTATTAATGAAACATTACTTAATGAAGCCATATTAAGTGCCAACCTAATTAATTGTTGTAAGTTATAAATAAAACTTCAGAAAATTGTTGTCACTATTAATGAAGCATTACTTAGTAAAGCCATATTAAGTGCCAACCTAATTAATTGTTGTAAGTTATAAATAAACCTCTAGAAAATTATATTGAGCATAAATACATTTAATATTAAAAAAAAATATTAGAAAAATATTAAAAGACACATATACATAATTAATTAAGAGACATAATCTAATAAAGTTAAAAATTCATTTATTGAATTCTACTATAACTATTCATTAGTAAACAAGTAACTATTTTAAACATCCGTTGAAATCACATTTTTAATAATGTTTCCTGATTTTGAAATGATTTTTAGCATTTCCAATTTTGTTTGTGAGTCAAATTGGTTCAACGATATTGAATTATACTACTCCGTCCCATAATGGTTGTCCACTTTCAATTTGGCACGATTATTAATAAAATGGTTGAAAAGTAAAAGTTGTGGTTGAGATTTGAGTAGAATAAAGTGAATTGATAAGAACCACATATTTCATCCAAAAAAGGAAACAAGACATTCATTTTGGGACAACCCAAAAGGGAAAGTAGGACAACCAAAATGGGACGGAGGGAGTACAATTTTACGATTCAACTCGCAATTTTAACAACATTGATATATAGTTCTTATAAAACATATAGTGATTTTAACAATCTTGATCTGTAGCTTTTATAAAACATATATTGAGATGAATGAAGAGATATTACGGAGTATAAAATAAATATTTATTTAGAAACTTTAAAACACAACAAGATAATAAAAAGTAATGTCATGTAGTGTTGAATAATCATCATAATTATAACTAAATAATACTCCGTACTACATATGAGATCGTAATATGATACTAGTAACAATTATTATCATCTTCATTAGACAATATATATGTTAGGGATGAAATTAAGAATACTTATTTGGTAGTTTTATACTAATTGGTGTATCTCTAACAATTATCATACATGTATTCTAATATAATTCCATATCATGTTTTTATTTTTATGCAATAAGTATGTATATACACATTACTCATGAAATAAATTATTTGTAAAAATAAACTGATTTCATTTGTTCACCGTGCAACGCACAGGTGGATTGACTAGTATTTAAGAATAATTGCATTGTTCTATAGCGTTTAAAATTATGAGATGTTATTAAGTTAGGAGTAGTCTTCATGTCAGGCCGGCCTGACGGGATGCTCCGGCCGGCCGAGGGCATTTCGGGCACTTTCTGGTAAAATTTTTTGATGAAAGTTTTTGAACATGTTCTTCATGAATTCTAGTTTATCCTTACCAAATTGCAGCTAAAAATTCAATCGAAAAGACATTCAAATAATTTCTTGAAGTTAACTGGGCAGTTCATACATATAAACTGCCCGATTAACTTCAAGAAATTATTTGAGTGCCTTCCCGATTGAATTTTTAGCTAAAATTTGGTATGAATAAACTTGACTTGATGAAGAACATGCTTAAAAAATTTAATCAAAAAATTCTACTGAAAAGTGCCCGAAATGTCCTAGACCGGACGGCGGTTCCCGTCAGGTCGGCTGGACATGAAAAGTCCTTATTAAGTTAGATGCTGCCTATATAAATGGTAGAAATATTGAAGGATTTGATTAATATACATTTTACACTTTTTTTAATAAAGCAGCTACTGAATAGTGAGTATTGAGCGCATGACCGGGGCTCGAGCCCGACCAGGCCGGTATAACGGCAGCTGCAGATAGCTCTTAGGCTTAATCACTACGTAGTATAAAATAAAATGGTGGGGGTTCCGCGATTAGGCTGTCACCTCGCTCACATCACTGCTTACGGTACTCTCTGTACAAATTTCAAATCCCTTCAAAATCACTCATATTTTACTCCATCAAATTATATTCAGGAAATCAAACGCTTCTCGATCTCAGGCTCAGCTACAGTTTCAATAATGGCTTCTGCTGCTAAAAAGGTACCATCTGAAGCTCTCAATTGTTTGGTTTTCCAAATTAAATACTTGATTGAGTAGTCATGTTTTTCCCTTGTTATAGGTTTTGGTTCCGGTGGCGAACGGGACGGAGCCGATTGAGGCGGTGGTGCAAATAGACATACTGCGGAGAGCTGGAGCCGAAGTTACGGTGGCTTCGGTGGAGAATGAGCTTCGAGTCGATGCCCTACACGGAGTTAAGATCGTTGCAGATTCGCTCATTTCCGATTGCGCCGATACTGAGTTTGACCTCCTCTCTCTTCCGGTATGTTTCCATACTCTAATGATGCGTATTGCATCAGTTCCGGTTCTCTGCTTGGTCTTTTGGCCAGTCACCTGAATTGGTTTTCAGTGACGTCGATCAGCGCGGCTCCATCACTCAGGACATTGATCTACCACCCGAGATCAGTGACCTGCCCGTCCAATGGCTGATCCTAATTCTGAATTAGTGCAGTGTATAGTTTCATTGCCTAGTCCTGTTCTAGTACAGTAAATGCGTTTCAGATTCGACCAACTCAACCCTATCTGTCCTCAGACTGACCTCGCACAGGCCTGCTTACTGCTTAGGCGCTACCTAGTACCTATTGATAAATGGAAGCAGTTTTAAGTTGTTCTACACTCACATTGTTTCCTTAGTTAATGCACAAAGATTGATACTTGTGTTAATTTCCAAACACACAATTTTAACAAGTGTAATGCTACAACGTCACCTACTCATTGATGTAAGTGTAAAATTACAATTTGGTAGTAGTAAACTATTGCGGCCATCTATCATTTTTCTTTATGCAATCGGATTGTATCATTGTAACACTTGTGGGTCGTGAACTCGTGACTATCATAAATATTTATATTTTAAGTTTTTAACCTTTTTGTTTATGTTTTCATACTATTAGTCTTACTCTGACATTAGGTTTTCCTATTGATGATATGAACTCACTACAGCATCGTATCGTGTCTATTTTTTTCTTTGTTATATTTTGCCTTCCAGTATAGGTATTGTCATATTGATCAGTCTTATTTGATCGCTACTTATTAGTATGCCATTGATAATTGCAGGGAGGGATGCCTGGTGCAGCTACCCTTAGAGACTGCAAAACTTTGGAAAGCATCTTCAGAAAACATGCAGAAAGCAAACGGTTATATGCGGCAATTTGTGCCTCTCCGGCAGTTGCACTTGGTCCGTGGGGACTGTTGAAGGGCCTTAAGGTATTAATCTCAGGTCATTGGATCTCATTTTTTGGACTTTCAGGGTATTAATTCGTTTTTTTTTCAAAAGACTGGCTATAAATGAATGAGTTGAGATGTTGAGTACTTGATCTCTTTGTCAAACTAAAATGATTTGAGTTTCAATGTGATAGAACCCAAACTATAGTTCATGAATGTAATCACAAGGCATCAAATGTATATTCAGGGGAGTTTTCATTTTAGTTGTGCACCTTTCTCATGGACAGGCAACTTGTTATCCATCATTCATGGAGCAACTTTTGCCTGCTGCAAATGCTGTCGATTCAAGAGTGCAGGTGGATGGAAATGTTATCACAAGTCGTGGACCAGGAACTGTCATGGAGTATGCTGTTGCTCTGGTTGAGCAGTTGTATGGAACAGAAAATTGTAATGAAGTTTCAAAGCCACTGGTATGTGAAATTTTGGTTACTTTTGAATAATAATAATAATAATAATACATATAAGTTACTTCAGTTCCTGGTCTGCACTTGTTGAATTTTTTTGATCTGTTACTTCATTTATCCTCTCTTAACCTTGTTTGTTTTGGAAAGTACTTTTATAGGTTCCATTTTATTTTATCATTCATTCATTCATTATTTTCCATCATTTGCAATGGAGCCAAAGATTCATTATTTTTTGGCTTGAGAATATGATGGAATAAAGCAAAATGGCTCACTAAACTGTCTGCGCTTTTTTTTTATGAAGCATCAGTCAGTCCATGCAATTTTGGAAGCGATTTTCATCCGTCGGTACTTTTTTATAAATTGCATGGACTGAATGATGCTTCATAAAAAAGAAGCGCAGACAGTTTAGTGAGCCATTTTGCTTTATTCCATCATATTCTCAAGCTAAAAAATAGTGAATCTTTGGCTCCATTGCAAATGATGGAAATGATGGAAAAAATAGTGAGCCATTGCAAATGGTGGAAATTTCCATTTTATTTCATCATTGATCAAATTGATTATTGATATAATCTGTTGTTTCATGATGCTTTGCAATCTATGCGTATTGTTCAGGTAATGCGCTCTAATCACGGTGATGGATATACATTTACTGAACTCAATTCAGTAAATTGGACAGTTACTAATAACCCACAGGTGAGGTGCTCAGTTGTGTGAGATTAATAATTGTCAGTGATTTAATTTTTCCCGAAACAATGTTACCTATAATCCCCCAATTATACTTTTTGATTACATTTCAACCAGATTCCCTTTAATATAAAAGGCCCAGTTAAGTAATTTTGCATAAACTAATTCTATCATGTATATGACTCTATGTGCCTTCTTCAGATACTGGTACCCATTGCCAATGGATCTGAGGAGATGGAAGCTCTTATTATTGTTGATGTACTTCGACGAGCTAAAGCTCAAGTAGTGGTGGCATCTGTTGAAGATACACTAGAGATTGTTGCTTCTAGGAAAGTGAAATTGGTTGCTGATGTCCTGCTTGAGGATGTTGCCCAGAGTACATATGATCTGATTGTCTTGCCTGTAAGTTCGATGCCTTTCTTTATATATTCTGTAACCTTTATAGACAACTCATTTCTCATCATTACTATGCAGGGTGGGATTGGTGGTGCCCAGGCATTTGCAAACTCAGAAAAATTGGTCAACATGTTGAAAACCCAAAGAGAATCAAACAAACCGTATGGAGCAATATGTGCTTCCCCTGCCCTAGTCCTTGAACCACATGGTTTGCTCAACGTGAGTTTATTATTAGATGATGGATCTAACTGTTATGGCTGATCTCAGACACGTTAGAAATTAGTTACCATAGATTTCTTGAGTGAATATGGACTGCCACAGTGCTTCTTTCTAACAGCACTTTTGCAAGAAGCCTTCTTTATTAATCTGCTTCTGGTAGTACTTTCTTTATCCAGTAGTTTGATTTACATTTTCAGGGTAAAAAGGCTACCGCTTTTCCAGCATTGTGCAATAAGCTCTCAGATCCAAGTGCAATAGAGAATAGGGTGATAGTTGATGGTTATCTCATCACAAGCAGAGGGCCAGGAACTACAATGGAATTTGCACTGGCCATTGTGGAAAAGTTCTTTGGACGCAGTAAAGCCCTAGACCTTGCCAAGGGGGTGGTTTTTGTGCAGCAGTAAAGCTAGTAGGTGTCTTTATGTTGTTTCTGTTTTATGACAACTACCATTGCACAGATGATATCCAGTTCAGTGTAATAAAAGCATACAAAAGAGGGGAACATTCATCTATAGAATTGTTCTTCAGTTTGAAGAGATGTTACAACTAACAACTAGATCACTACATTTTAGTACACTCCCATCCAAATAATCCCAAAAAAACTCAAAAATTATATGAAGTGTCATTCTCTTAGGTCCCGTTTGGTAATGGTTATGTAGCTTAAATGGCAGAATCTCCTGATTTTAATGAAAGTAGAAGAATTATTCTCTTAATTTTTGCTGATAAGCAGAATAAGCCAGATAAGGCAACCAAACTGCTAAATGCTAATTCAAGTACTCCGATCAGATATGGAAGTGAAAGTCATGGTTGCTTGTGTAGTGGAGACGGCAGGGCTCTGTAGCGATAAAGGCTTATTATTTTCATTACCTGGTGCTGCAGATAAGGTATGCATGCTCTTTTTCATTCTATTTCTGAGGCCCATCCCTTCAGGCAATAGACTAGGCTCTGATATCTCCATGCCATCCACATTCATCTCCCCTGTCAACATTTTCACCACTGTTGGCATAGACGGTCGGCTATTAGGCATGAAATTGGTGCATAACAAAGCAATCTTTATATATCTAAAGGCTTCATCTATATCAAAATTCGCTCCTAGTGAAAAATCAACTAACTCAGCAAGCTCCCCTTTCTGATAGAGTTTCCATGCCTGCATATCAAACAAACTCGTCCGATCAAATTCTTACCCATTCATTGGAAGTTTGAACCTAATGGGTTATTAGTTCATCAAGAGCCTAACTACTTTGAATCTGCCATCAGGTCAGAAATGCAATGCTCTAAAAAGTGTTGGGGGGCGTTATTTACCAGACTAGAAAATGTTTTGCAAATTAAAAAATTTATACCCTTTCAAGAAGATACTGATCAGCAAGTGGTAGTCTCTTGTTAGTGTTGGATCTTCCACTAACAATTTCCAGGAGAAGTACTCCAAAGCTGTAAATGTCAGCTTTTTTTGTCAATTGGCCGCGAATCACATATTCAGGAGCCAAATAACCCCTGCAGCCAAATAAGTCTACTTTTAGCAAGTGTTTGGAAGCATGGAAATAGTGTGGTAGAGAATGGAACAGACAGTTTTTGAGGCAATTCAATGGGTTGGTTGAAGGGAAATTGAGGACAGATGAGTGGAAGTGGTTTATAACCCTATCAAACCCTTTTTTTCATTCAAATATTTCCTCCTTATTTTCTACTTTTTCTAACCAAACAATTCTTACTTAGTTCTATTTCTCTCATATTATTTTCTTCTCTTACCAGCCTCTCATCCCTTTACTTCCTCCCCCCCTACCAAACACAGCCTTACTGAACTTGAGAAGAGTGACTTACGGGGTCCCAGCTATGCGCGTACTGATATGAGTGAGGTTGTCGGGGAAAAGCTTGGCAAGGCCGAAGTCAGAAATCTTTGGGGTCAAATCTTTGTCAAGAAGGATATTGCTTGCTTTAATATCTCTATGAATAATTTGAGGCTGGATTTCTTCATGAAGGAATGCAAGTCCCCTGGCAACCCCTATGCATATATTTCTCCTTCCACTCCAGGTAAACTGAATCCCACTTGACCTAGATCCTACAAATTAATGAAGTAATCATGAGTCATCAGGCAAAAAAGCTGGACTTGGAACCTCTAGCAGAGAGGGAGAGGGAGAGAGAGATCACCTATAAGAGTCTGAGCAATGCTATTATTCTCGAGATAGCCATAGACCAATATCCTATGATCGCCTTCTACACAACACCCGTGTAGCTTTACCAAATTTTCATGTTCCAACCCTGAGATAACCACAATCTCTGTCAAAAATTCTTTAACACCCTGTCTTGAATCGACTGAGAGAACCTTAATAGCAGCTAAAGTTCCATCGCTCAAGCTTCCCTATTCAAGTGAAACAAATCATCTCAGTGCAAACAAGAAATGGGTACTAGGTCTTCCAAATTGGTTTGCTACAATAAATCATCATCTTGCAAGGACATCCTAAGCCATGACAACATTACATATATTAAGTGGCTATTTCTTTCAGGTTGAAGTTCAAGGATGAAATCTCAAGTTAAATAGGTCATACCTTGTAGACGGTGCCGAACCCTCCCACTCCAATTTTGTTTGATGGGCTAAAATTTTCTGTAGCGAACCTCAACTCTTTGTAAGTGTACAGCTTTATGTTCTGAATGCTGGAAATCTCTGCCAATTTCAGATTAACTATAATTACCATAAAAACTGATGCCATCTAAGTTGAATTATGATAAGAGGGGTCCAACTAACCTTCTTCAATGTCTACTTGATGATGTCCCGGGGGAGGCGACTTCCTTCTGTGGCAGATGGGGAAAAAACACGACGTCATACTACCAGTTTGATTAAGAAACACTACAACTCTCATATATGCAGCCTCCTATCAGGGTAAAAGTTATTCAATAAGAATTTGGCTATGTGTATATTCCACTATCTAAAATGCCATTCCACGGCACAAAAAGCCTCTCTTCACCAGTTTGTGTAAGAATATCAATCACAACAGAAGACCAAGAGTATTTTTTAAAGGAAGATATCTATCTTCAGGATCCAGTCAATTGTTCAATAATTGGGAAGGTTCACCTCCATGCAGTTAGCAGAGCAAGTTTGACTTTCCATAGTAGGTCCAAAGTTGAAAAAGTTATGCCAGGCCGACAGCCATATCTATGATCTAACGACAAATTTGGTAGAAAGTACATTATATCAAATTCTGAAAATGAGCCTTCCAATTATCTGAATGGGTTACTCGACATATGTAGAAATTAGCATTACAATTATCAAAAATGTTTTATTTAAGATTCATTTTATTTAAAAAATAAACAGTGACAATGGTCATTTTCAACAAGCACAGCAAAAATCTTTTCAGCCTTATATTTTTCATTATTATTAGCTTTGCATCTTCGTGCGTAGTTAAAAAGAGTATTTCGATTAGGGCTGCACATCGGGCGGGTTGGGTCGGGTTTGCTATATTTTTTGGGCCTACCTAATTTGTTCGGGTTGGCTATTAACCAACCCGCGGTACGCAAAATAAGTTGGTAAACCATTCATGAATGGGTCGGGTAGGGTCGGATATTGGAAGAAAAAATCACTTCGGGTTGCATCTTTCATGTGGGAAATTAATGTAACCAATTTGAAACTCGATTAACTTATTTCCAAAACACACAAATAATTACAAGTACTTGTATCTTTTATAAGCAAAAACATTAGATAATAGTATTAAAACATCCTTCCGTAAAGGAAGTTCATTTAGAAGGGAACGTAAATATATAATAATCACCTAGTCAAAATGATAAATGTTTAATTATAATTCTAATATCATAAAATCCTAGATAGAGCATATTGGTCTTAAATTTAAATTATCCAAGAAAACGTTGTAGCATAATAATAGTAAAATGAACTTCGGCCGGGTCGGGTACTATCGAGTTTGAGATTTTAATTCCGCAACTCTACCCATTAGGTGTGGGTTCAAACATATTTAACTCATGAATATTTTTAAAAATCAAATACCCGATTAAATAGGGTCGGATAGAATAGGGTTGGGCGGGTTATGCGGATTCGGGTTATTCTTTTGCAGCCCTAATTTCGGTTGCTAATCAAATTAATACTCAACAAGTAGAAAATGGCCACTTAGATTGTGTAGAGATTAGCGACGAAGGAGGTAGGAAACCGATCGGCCAAGACAGCAAGACTTCCCAACCAAGTTGTGACAATTGACAGGTTGTCAAAATCGTATTTAGATTTAAATACTCCGTATATTTTTTGCCTTGGTGCTTTTTTGTTTTAGATGATTATAATTGTTCAACCCCCTCCATTATACAAAAATTTCTTTGGGATTATTTTAGCGGGATATCAATAGCAGATTTGGTCGACGGGTTTGACTATTGGAATAAATTGATGGTTAGAAGATATTTGGTAATTTAGCTGTTTGGGCATAAAATTTGTAGAAAACGTCATTTTTCAAAATGCCAACCCAAAATTCACCTAGCAGCAGCGTTTTCATTTCAACGTTTCTATCCAAAACCGTTGGTGCCGAACAACTATTTTTTTTTTTTTTTTTTTAATACTCCAGGGGGGGTCTGGGGAGGGGGGCTGGGGGGAGCCTGGAGTAATCAGGCCGAACAACTATTTTTCAAACAGTTTTTCACTTATTGAAAATGGTAAAAATGGTCAAATCTTCATTTTTCGGCTGAAACGTCGTTTACCAAACGCTCCCTTTGCGGCCCCTATATAGTTATTATACTCTCTCCGTCCCAATTTGATGATCTCATTTCTTTTGAGCTCAAAGATTAAAAGTTGTGGTTGCGATTTGAGTAGAAAAATGTAAAATGATGTGGACCACATATTTCTTTCTAAAAAGGGAAATGAGACTATCAATTTGGGACGACCCAGAAAAGAAATACGGGATCATCAAATTGGGATGGAGGGAGTAGAAGATTTTGTATTTAGGAAAAATTAATATTGTTGGCATAATTCTACTTTTATCCTTATCTATGTATTCCGTATACGAGTATTCTTTTACACACTACTATTCGTTGAGTTAAAACTGAGTTAAAAAACATTTACCTTTTTTTCAAATACTCCTTCCGTCCCATTTTACCTGTCCTACTTTCTTTTTTGGGTTGTCCCAAAATAAGTGTCCATTTTCCCTTTTTGGAAAGAAATATGTGACCTACACCATTTCACTTTATTATACTTAAACTTCAACCACAACTTTTACATTTTCAACCACTTCATTAATAATCGTGCCAAGTCAAACTAAGACACATAAAATGGGACTGAGATAGTACTTCGTATGTCCTAGGCCCAGTTTGTTGACTTTGTTTGTCGGCTTATGAGCCACTCTCACAACTTTAATCGTCATTACTGGTTGATGTTTTATACTTTTTATAAAACATTGTGACATTTTTTTATACTTTTTATACTTTATACGAGTATTCGCAGTTGATGACATTTGTTTATACTTTTTGTGTTAATCTTTTAACTGTCTCAATTTTAACATTGTGATTTGTGGCATGGAGACCGGTGACATACGAACATTACGAAGTATTCACTATCTAAGTCTTTTCAAAGCCAATACAGTAGACCATACTCCATAGACACACAATGCATACGAATACTCCCTCCGTCCCAGAATTAACTTCGGTTTTGACTGGGCACGGGGATTAAGATAGTGGGAATGTGTGGTGGAGAGTTGTGCAGAGGAGAGAGAAATGTGTAAGAATGATTGTGAACCACAAATCATTTGCCAAAAAAGGAAAGATTGGGTAAATTTGGGACGGACCGAAAAGGAAAGAATGAAGATAATTTCGGGACGGAGGGAGTATTACGGATAGGGGTGGTCCAATATTTGGCCGAACGCGAATCCGGACAGTTACTATTCAAACGGTTCGGTTCGGTTCGGTTCGGTCTTAGACCTAAACTCGTTCGGTACGGTTTCATTTTGAAACGAGACGGTAGCATTCCATACCAATATCAAACAATGCCACTTTTCCAAGTGTGTAAGAGGAAATTAAAGTTTAGTCATTATTCAAAAATCCACACAATTTATCAATTTTCATACTCATTCCATCCCAAATTGACATGCAAAGTCATTATTTTTTAGTCAACCAAGGTTAAAGTTAAATTCTCTTTATTGATAAAATGAAATTGTTTGACCAAGAAAAGTTAATTTTGCAAATCAATTTGGGACGAATGTAGTATTACATTAATTAATAAATTTCAGATGAATTATAGTAATACAAATTTAAATAATTAAACCATACATCGGTCCGATTCCAGATTTCCAGGCTTCTTATGAACTAGCAAAGACGGTGAAAGTGTGAAGGCACTAGTCAAAGTAATGGTATAAATGTAAATGTAAATTTAAATAATTAAATCATACTTCGGTTTGGTTTGGTCCGGTATCGGTTCTTATTTTATGACAACCGGTCATGGCATTGTTTAGAATCGGTACGGTTCGGGACAAAAAAAATTAAATCCATTTCAAACCCCGTTTTTCGGTCCGGTACCATATCGATTCGGTTCGGTACCATGCTGGTTCGGTATTTTTGCCCACCCCTAATTACGGAGTACTAGTTTGCCTAGTCAATTTTTAATATATACTCCGTATTTTATTTGAACAATTGCACAATTTTTAATGGTGTATTTTTAATTTTGTCGCCTCGTTGAAACTTAGCAAAGTCACAATAATCATTGGTCTTTTTCGACCTCGGATGGGCGTCCGGGCTTGGTCCTTGTGCATTTGGGACTTGGGAGGCAGGGCAAGAGGTGGCTTGATGATGTTAGGCCAGTCCGTTGTCTGGGCAGCCCAATATCCCAACAATATGGTTTTTGTCAAGTCTAAGGTAATAAAATACTTGTCTCATGCAAAATCTTGCCAACTAACAGCGGCAAAATTAAAAATTAGTTCAACAATAAAAGTTAGAGCATACTAATGATGAAGGTAGAAATAGAAATTCGTAAATTTTTGTTATCTATAATATGGTCTCAACTAGCGCTTCCATCTTGAACAATCAGCTTCCTTCCCCAAGAGTTGTTTTCCCATTTTCGCCATGGAGGCAATAAACGTTTTTTAAACCCTTTTGATGGCATTCTTGATGTTTCTGTGAGAAAGGTTCTTGAATTTAATCTGGTGCATCAACCAGACCCTACTCTAGTCTATGACATCAACAATGACGACAATGCCTGCCATTTTCCTTGTCGTAGTTGATGATGACAAGCCTTCCCATCTCAAAATACATCCAAGGTTAATCGCAACCGTTTCCGTCAATAAATCTAATATCCCACTAATTTATACTCCCTCCGTTTCTATTTGTTTGACACAGTTTAACTTGTCAAGATTTAAGATAAAAAAGTTATTGAGGGGTAAATTTTACTGTAGAGTACACTGTTTGAACACTGTTTGACACTGTTTGAACACTGTTTGGCATTGTTTGAACACTGTTTTACACTTTTTAGGTAAAGATTTGTTTACCAAATAAGGAAATAAAGAAGTGTGACATTCATTTTGAAACGTCCAAAACAGAAAAGTGTGTCAAACAAATAGAAACGGAGGGAGTGTGTATTTATTTAGTCAACTCACTTTTTCTTTGCAATCCAGCATAGTCAATAGATTCACTTAGCAGTTAGCACAATTTTTTTTAATGAAATGCATAAATCCTTACCTTTTCTATTACACATCATTCATGTTGACAATTTTATTTTTGCCAATAATTATGTTTCAAAAAATCAAACATTCCGATATAAAAAATGAAAACGTAAATGTAGTTTTTAGTGCACGATTCAGTTCAATTTTAATGAAATTTCAATAAACACAATTTTACATTTTTTTCTTATTGCTATATTATTAATTTTTCATTTGTATTATACCAACAATTTTTCTATATTAATTTTTCATTTTTAGTATTACAATATAATTGTTGTTTCGCCTATCAATATTATTAATTGTTGTACGGAGTATTTCCTAGATTGGACGTGTTCCTCCTCGCGCGCAAGCTTGGACACAAAGAAGCACGCTACAATTGGGACCATTCATTTCCTCCTGGATCTGTCAGTGAGAGCTGGGGCTAGGAGCAATATGGCGGACAAATATCTCTCCACCCGGTTCTCCTAATTCACTCTGGCAGTTTGGAGCGAAAACTTCACATTTGAGTTTTTCTCCCTTTCCATTGCGGTTACCGTTAAGACCCGGAGTTCCATCCTAAAAGGTCAACATAATAGGAGGAGTCCAAAGCCTTATATAGTGTTTAATTGTTTTATAGCTTTACGGTGTGAGACAAATGATTTAACACGCCCCCCTTAGCCCGAACCGGGATGGACAATATCGGTGTGTATAAACGGGCCAAACAAACCTTTAACAATCGGA